CGTCGCTGCCCGTGTAAAATATCTCGGTGAAAATATATCCGACGCTGCAGAACAAGCAACCAATGTGATTAAGAAGGTTGGTCGCCAAGCAGGTGTCATTGTATTGGATAAGTACGGAAATGGTGTGTATTCTTTTGTGCCATAAATATGTGCGGAATGAGACTAACCATTGTTTCCTATTTTTAACCGTGAAGTTTCTGCGTCGAAAAATTGCGATATAATGTTTCGAGGATACATTCGTGTATCTGATGGAGTACCACATATTAACGTTTTGGATTGAACTTAATAATGATATATCGATATATTTTTTCTACGAATTTGACTATGAATTAATGGTCACCCAATAAAGCCTGCAATCGTACATGTTTTCATCAACAGTCAAATATCAAAGATGACAACACTACTCTCAAAGCCATTAATTCAGTAATAAAAAATTAATCGTGAATCTTGAATTATCATTTAGAATAATTAAGGTTTCTAATATTTTCAACACCTAGTAATGGTTCTGCGCGACCAACTAAAAGAATCAACGCAAAAAACTGACATACAAATAAAACTGCTAATTACAAAGAAAGCAAAGATATCGAATCGATTTTGATGTTATCGTTATGTTCAGTGTTCGTCAGAGGTAACTTACCCCCTTAACTTTCCATAGATCATGTGTAATGTACCAAAATTTTCCAAGCACAAAAGAACATTACAAATGCTGATCGTTGATCTATATCGTACATGTATAATCAGTTATTTCATAATCAATATTCAATAATCTAATTCTTGACGCTCAGTGATCTGATTTGAACAAACATACAACCATTCGATTTGTCCAGTCGAGGTGAATCAAATGTTAGTATTTTGTTCAAATCGGATCACTGGTCGTCGAAATATTACGTCTTAAAGTAGCAGATTCATTTTTTTGGAGTTAACAAAAATTAATCCGCCAATTTAGGACTTGTTATCTCGGTCTCCAGTGATCCAATTCAAACAAAAATAATATCATTCGATTTCGTCTTGACTAGATAAATCGAATAGTATATACATGTATTATGTTGATTAACAAATATGAATCAGGACATGTATGTAAAATTTTGCTGATTGGTCAGAGGCTCCATACCCACCACCCCTAAAAAATTATCTGATTTATGTCTCTACCCTAATGTACACGTAGAAAACAAAAACAAATGTTGCAAATACATGTACTTGCATATACATAGTACCGTAAAACGCTCTGTATATTACCCCTCCCTTATAAAGCACTTTACGGTTTATGCACAGATATTTTTTTGGTGCGTATTTTTATTTATATATTTGTATCACTTAAATTAACAATGACGAGAAAAGAAACTAACATCAATGTATTAGCGTTAGAATAACAATTTCGTCAGATATCCCACAACATTTAAATGAACGTTTTAATTAAATTTGGATCCACGCAATTTCTACCCATTTAGCGAGTAATGAACATGAAGATTTTTTAATACGGTTTGAAGTGTAAGTTCATGAATTTCTTCTGACATCATTGATTACCGTAATTGCAGCATAAACCACCCACCCCCACCATCTCTGTATAAAATTTAAACATTAATTTAGTAATTAAAATTTTTAAGAAATTGCGAATCTTTATTTTGTGGAAAAATAATTGGTTTTATTAAAAAAAATTTGGACCAAATTAAGGTTTAAATAACTAAATTTTCTTACGAATTTAATTATACGTAGAGATTAATTTAATACTTTGCAAAACAATAACGATAAACCAGAACAAAATAATAAGAATTTTTTAGAATATCGCATACATAATAAGACTTTTAAATACGACACAAAGAATTGTTAATAGGAGATTCATTATTTGTAAAAATTACATGAGTCTCTTGATTCAAATTTAATTAAACGTTTATTTAAATGATTGTTATTTCTAATCCTAATTCATAGATGATAGTTTCTTTTCTCGTCATTGTTAATTTACTTTAAATATGGCATAAAGAATTGTTAAGGATATAATTAAATTATTCAATTCTTTTGCTTAATTAGAAGAGATCATTACTTGTAAAAATTACGTGAGTCTCGCAATTCAAATTAAATGATTGTTATTCTAACGCTAATACATGGATGATACGTAGTTTCTTTTTCGTCATTGTAAATTTAAGTGATACAAATTTATACTTAAAATACGCACCATAAAACTATCCGTGCATAAACTGGAAAGTACTTTACAAGGGGGGGGGGGGGGTACTATCATTATACAGAGCATTTTACGGTACATGTACATGTATAACGAAAATTTTCTAAACAATAGCGATAGAGTTTTTAGATACAGTTCAGTAGATATTTTCCAAAAAAGCGATCAAAAACCATTCTTTACAAAAAACGCCAAATTTTACCTTTACGGGTATAATACAATGAATACGCACATCATAGAGATTATAGATTTGATTATGTATACACGTAAAAAAAATCACATAGTGATGCTTAGAATTACTAATAAATAGGGATCGTTATTTTTTGAAATTGTGTTGGATAAATATTGGAGTAATATTGGACTACATTAATCAATTAAAATTTACAAATTCTCCAATAAAAATAAGCAAATTCGTAAATTCACTATCAAAAAAATGAATCTTAAACATTACAACTGCTTCCTTGCGTTATTTATCACATTCCTCTTGCTAACAGTCTATAGAACAAGAACTCGAGTCATTTATGATTGGTTCGGAAGAAGCGATTGCCGATACATACCCCATATTTGATGGAGGCTCTTAAATTTAAGAAATGCTAGAATCGTTGGAAAATCTTAATTACCACATGCATATATAAATATACAGTATTGTTAGTTTTTGTCAAATGTCATTATTAGCCGCAAATTTCAATAAAACTCGATCTGTAAATTTTTATTCAATGAAATCGCCCCCCAACTAAATGTCGATACAGAGCCCCCGTTATTATCAATCCGGTTAATATCAACACCCGTTGTTAGTGAGAATGGGTCGGTTCAATTCAAATATGTAGAGCGGTTTGAACTCGAACCGGTTTTGAACCAGTTTCGGTTCTATTTTAGCTGAACCGAACCGGTTCGAACGGTTTAATTAATGAACCGCCCCATCCCTAATTGTTATATAGCAATCGCTAGTTATCGAGGTATCATTACCTCGTCATAATACCCTCCGCCAAAATACCCATATTTAAGCACCAAAAATATATGCTATGTTAAGAAAAGGAATAACGATAATGTTCATCATAATCACATGAAAATACAATTATTCGATTCGTCATGTCTGGTATTTTCATGTGATTATGATCGCTATGGTGGTGCATCTAAAGTCATCAAACGTTTGTATTTTATAAAATGTATAAACTTCTTTACTAAGAAGTAAATACCAAATTTAATCCGTGAATATGCTCAGAAAAGGCCTATTCTATCATATTTACGGATTAAATTTTGTATTTAATTCTTAGTAAAGAAGTTTATACATTTTATAAAATACAAACGTTTGATGACTTTAGATTTATGCACCATAATCATACTTGATATCTAATATCAATCGGATATTTTAATGGACCTATTTCAAATCACATGACCCGTAACTTTTTTTTGCCGTGGCTAGGATTTATTGTCATCCGGTGAAATGTGATGTGGCACAAACCAATAAGAATGTGCAATTTTTTGATCAGCAAAAGATGTTTTAATCAAACTTGGAAATGTTCTAATCCTTGACTCTAATCCTTACCGTACAAGCGCGTTATTTCGGGACGCTCATGTGCGATATTTCGAGAATTGGTATCAAAGTAATGTGAATATGTTTGCGTGATTAACTCGTCATACTAGTTTAATAATAATTATGATTTATGCTTATGTAAAAAATAAATATAGTAAAAAGATCGTTTTTGATGGTCCATATTCGTACGTTTACCATTCGAATTCATTTAAATTTATGTTCTATATCCAAGTGTGCTTTATTCAGGACGCCCATGAGCGTTATTTTGAGTCAAATATACAGTGTCCAAAAATTGCGAATTTCGAAATAACGTTCATGGGCGTTTTTATGCGCTTATACGGTACCTTAAAACTAACGTCATAGTTAACTTTTAACAATCCACCGGAAGTTGATCGAGAGTACAGACAAGAGAAAATGCCAAAAACAGAACATCTCCGTCACTAGTACAAATGCATCCTTTCGATTGTTTGAACGAGACCGACACAAGTCCCACGAAATTTTTAATAAAGAAAAGTACTTGAAAATCAAATAAAAAAATCCAAACTTCAATAATATTAATTGGATTCTTTGGAAATATATTTGTGATAATTTTTCAAAAAAATTAGATTTGCGATTTGCACGTCTCGTTCTAAAATTTTGCGGTGTATAACGTTTACTGCTCCGAATGGTTCGGTCCGGTTTGACTAAATTGAACCGAAAATTCGGTTCGGGGCTGGTTTGCAATCTGACAATAGGTTCGGCTTTCGGATTGAATGTTCAAGATCTTTTATTTAAATTCAAAACTTTAATTAAATAAACAAAAATTTGAATTTTATTTATTCAGTATAAATTCTGAAATTGTGTTAAATCTTAATAAAAAAATTGATTTTTCTAATTAAATAAATAATAAAAAAATTTTTATAGAATTTTTAAATATATAAAATATGTAAATTTGATCTTAATATTAAAGTAAACTTAAGGGTCTTTTCGGTGATATAATATACAATTTATACATGTGATCGGCATTATTTATCATACAGTGGCTCGCTTTTGAAAACGTACACAGAAAAAAAAGCGAAATTCAAATATCTCGCCATTGAAGAATCATCCACGACCAAAAGCAATTTAATTACATTTATTAAAATGCCAAGTATCATTTAC